CACACGAAAGATTTTCTAAGTCTCATTTGAATCTTAGAACTAAAAACGATGGACAACTCGTGGAGAAGGCACGTGCTTTTGTATTTGAAGTCTAAGATGAACAATTTTCTGTCAAGCTTTGAGTTGCTATAGAGATGTAGTTATCGAAAAGTCATCACAGTGAACGCGTTGAAGAAACATTCCAAAGTTTCTTTTAATAACTTAAAAGACCGACTCTCTATAAACCTCGGCATAGAAAGTTGATATATATATTTATATGATCTTATAGAGTGGAGTACCACTCGTAACAACACGACGCTGAGGAAGACGAAATCGCCGAAACAGCCATCGACCAACAACACCAACGACAGCGACAACGAAGACCTATACCAACCTCGTGTCAGCTGAAGAAGGTCAGTTTATAAGATCATATAAATAAATATTCCAAAGTTTGTTAAGGTGGAGAATAAGGTCAACAAATAATACAAAAAATGAGAAATTATAGATATAAAACCTCTTTAAAAATCAGTCGCGCCTTTATGAGAACAGCGATAAAAATCGTTACCGTCACCAGACCAACGATAGTAAAGATGGCATACGCGATAGTAGTAACGACTAATATGTTATAGTCAATGCCGTCTATGTCTAGATTGAATAGAGGCGCTTGTAATATCATTTTCTAAAATTGCATTGCCAGACAATTTTCTGAGAAGGTATGTGAGAGAAATTATGTCGCAAGAGAGCATCTACGAACTATGGAAAAGAAATGAGCATCACTAACTAAATCGTCACCTTGCATTGATCTAAATGGAGTGAAAATTAGTTCACAGTCCCTAATAGACATGAAGAGAGGAGCGGAAATAATTTCGATAGGTCTGCTATTAACCGCTTCATGCGTGATTATTTTACGCACCTCATGCGGAAGTGACTTGATTTTTAACCCAATAGACCTAAACATTTTAGGTATGGAATAAACGATGTGGTCGTGGAGCTCGGCCAAAATGATTTCTATTTATTGAAAGCCTTCAATAAAGAGTTCGGTTTTGTCCTTAAAAACCGACTTTCATTAAATTTCGACAACAATAATTCTTTTTCTCCAACACAGATTTTTTAAAACATCAACAGAAGTTTTTTTTATTTATATGCTCTTGTAAAATGATCTTAATTTGACGCGAGGTTGGTATAGTCTTCACTGCCATTTTCGTTGTTGTTATCGTTGCTGTTGGTGTTGTTGGTCGACGGCAGACGTTTGGGCGATTTCGCCTTCCTCATAGCTGTGCTGTTACGAGTGGGATGTCCCACTGTCCCAACGACAACGAAGACCTTTATCAACCTCGCATCAGCTCAGGAGGATCAGTTCATAAAATCATATAAATAAATATATCAACTATCTGTGCCGAGGTTTATAGAAAGTGGGTCTTTCGAGTTATCAATAGAAATTTGTTGGTGTGTCTAAACTATTCAACCATCATTTTCACTAAGAGACATTTGTTAGCGGATCTGTCTCTATATCAATCCATGCTATCCAGCCTTGGCACTGCTGAAAACAAATGTATGTAATAAGAAAAAGGATGAAATGTCAAAACTCAGCTTTTCTTAACATACAGAATAAATTTTTCCGTGGCTATAAGTGTGGAGAAGTTTCGTAGAGAATACAGGATGAACTATAATGAACCAAGATAGGGCTATGAAGTAAGTTGTGCCTAGCCTGCAGTTTCTAGATGTATGTTGAGGTGCCGCTCACAGCTTGAACTTGAGGTGTTGCGTTACTGGTGGTTTTCAGTGGAGATTACTTAACACTTGAAGTTCGTAGTTTGGCCGGACCATATACTCAGGTAAGTGACGGCATTCTGCGTTTAACAGTGGGCCAACTTGGGCGCCAACTGAAAGCAGTTTGTGTTTGCACGCTCGTTGATTTAGATGGGGAAAAACAGATAGTGGAAATCTGGATGCTAAACCCTTATAAGTTGTGGAAGACTTAACACGTTCTCTTTTCGTCTCAGGCAACTGCCGCTCATCGTGGTGGTCTGATTCAAGAAGGGCAATGAATGCGAGTGCCGTTCGTGATTAAACTTTGTTTGCAGCTTTATACAACTGGCTGTTCATACCGGTATTCAGACAGGATAAGAGTTAGATACATCTCTTGCGGACGGCGGCAAAACGGTTGACTAAAGCCGAGAGGATTGTTTGATCATATACTCTCTTAGAAGTTTTTTTTACTAGTTGTAATATTTTATTCGCTTGAGAAAAATAAGCTCAACACAAAGAAAATTGGTTTTCCTGCACACATTTTTTTTGTATATTATGGTACCGTCATTGATAGCTAACAAACGACACACTAGCAACAATGTGAACTGTAGATAATCAGAATCAGTGTGAAAGCATTCTAAATCCTTTTAAGCTAAAATGACACCCTTCGTTAGATGCTTTTTTCTGCCTTTTTCTGTGGACTCTATGGGATTCAGGGAAGAAAATTACATTCATAGTTGGATCCTCTTAAATTGGCTTGAAACCTGGGTTAGTCAGGGCTTCCATTGATGCTTCGGTAGGCCACATCATTTCACAGAACAGAACAAATAGTCATTTAGTTGCTTCTGTGATGTTTAGTGTACTTTTATAACATAAAAGAATAGACAGCACAGTTTGCCTTTATTTGTTCAATCACGGTTACCGATTAAACCTGTGATGACGTCGATTATATTCCTTTCAATGTTGTGCTAGTAGAACTACTGGAGCTGAGTACTCTACTAACAATTTTCTCAGTTATAGTATTTAAGCTAATGGAGTAAGCTCCATTTATTGAAACGAGTCAGTTGTTGTGGTTACTCAAATTAGGTTAATCGTATATGATTACTGAAGGGCGAATTGTTACATTATATTGTTTTGCCGGAAGGAGAGAGTGAAAGGGAGGGGGCAGGGAAGTGCAGTCATAAGTGATGCAGTTGATCAGGAAACGAGGGCCTTAGGAAACCCCTCCTTTCACCTTTTTCAGTCCACATGGAAAGGCTCTATTTCAGCTATCTTCAAGATTACGAGAAAAGCCGACTTGGCCAGCGTTCTACGGTCAGACCAAATCCTAAAGCAGCAGTTGAAGCGACACGTGAAATATTCGAAGACCCTCGTGGATACGAGGCAAACAGAAAGCGAGACGGGTTGAGATTTGTGGAAAAGATGTGATGATGGATCATGTAAAATGCAAATAAATTGTCTTATCACTAATATCGTAAAGAATGGGTACAAATTAATGGATCTCCTCAACCTCATTGGTTCCCATAGACGGAATTACGCTTACACTACAAGCGAACTGCGGTCCAACAATTTTTTACGACGGCAGTACATTGTCCCGAATAGGTCGTAGAATCTTTTTTTCTTTTTTATCAAACTGCTGTTAGCTTATTAATACGTGATGGTCACAGAATTTTAACCTTTTTATTTACTCCCTATTCCCTTTCATGGCTGGGCATGTTGCAAAATACAACTTCTATAATGCTGAGGTATTTGCAAAACTCCAGACGGCAGGTGGCTGCGGTGGGGAGCGAACACGCTGTTGTCCTTTTCGGGGAGTAACGCCTTCACCATCACATCATGTGGGTCCTTCGTTTCGCCTGTCTCTTAGCTAGTTCTGTCGATCTTTTTGCCATCAGCAATCCCGTCAACGGGATTGACCTGGAGAGCCCTTTTTCTTAGGATTTGGGCACCCTAGATTAATCCCGTTGGCGGGTGATTGCAGATAGCAAAAAGATCGGCAGAACTAGCTAAGAGACAGGCGAAACGAAGAACCCGCATGATGTGGTGGTGAAGGCGTTACTCCCCGGAAAGGACAATAGCGTGTTCGCTCCCTACCGCAAACACCTGCCGTCTGGAGTTTTGCAAATACCTCAGCATTATAGAGGTCACAGAATTGTTTGTCAGCTTCATGTTTCATGGCGTTTCCAAGCGATTAAATGAGCTCAGACTCCACTTCCACAAAGAGTGCTGTGTTGTGATTACATTAACAGTAGTCATAACTGTAGAAATGAATGAGGTTTGTAAGAATGCATTGTGATTGGTAATAGGTAACTTTCTTACCCAGAAAAATTTTTTGACGCCCTTGAAAATGGAAAGCAAAAAATATTCAGTAACGGTTATTATGAATAAAAAAAGAAAACTCTGGTCACTGTCGCCTTCAACCAACTGTAATTGGCTTTTACGAATCCAAAATACAAAACCAAAATGCGGTTTAAACGAGTTACCAACAACGGATTGGAAAAGTTTTGGGTTGCCGTTATATTTGAAAAGTAATATTTTTATTACACAAACGTCGTGAAGGACCTTTTATGACGAGATGCTTCTCTGGATATTTTTCGAGTTTACGACGAAACTAAAGCATAGCCTTAAGATGAACGGCAAACGAACAGAGGTCTTCATGTACGTTCATCAACGCATTGCTTGAGGAGTAGAGAATGGGTGGAGGCGGAAACGAGTTTACCACAAAATCACTACCTCAGTACAGTCAGATAAAATCTGCCGTATGTGATGCAATAGTAGCGAGTATAATTTAAGTTGCAATTTAGTCCAAATTCCCCGCGATTCAAATATCCACCCTACGTCATCCAAAATCCAACTTTGATAACACAAACAACTTTGATAAGGAATGGTCCGGGTTTCTACTTATTGCACAATGAAGATTTTTGAGTGGAAAAGAGTACATCATAAGTGTTCACAGTATTTCTTTCTCTAGTATTTATTTCGGCAATTTTTTTGTAATTAAAAGCCGTTTTATTGCAGTATTTTTATTTTAAATTAAAATTTTAAAAACGCAAAAGTTACGAAACTTACCAACATGCCCTGTCTTGTACTTACTTATAAAAACTCATAAGTTAGTATCCAGCGATGATCTTGCTTCCAACGATCCATCACTATTTAAGGTTAGACCTATTATTAGCTGCGTAGACGGGCCAATGGACAGGATAACATGGTTTTTAACCCTAATATTTAACCAGTTGTTGAAACACATTCCAGCCAATCTTACGAATACCCAGATGTTTCTGGATCGTCTACGTACTGCGCAACCCAACAGCGCGTGCGTGATTGAGTCTTTCGACGTTACCGCCCTTTATACAAACGTGTCGAATGACTCCGCAACGCAAGCCATATTCAAACTCCTTACACAACACGAAGGAGAAATAAACATGTATGGCTTCAGGACAAAGCACCTAATGGCACTCTTAAAAGAATGCTTGAGCTGCTCAATCTTCAGATGGTCCGGAAAGTACTACGCTCAAATAAGAGGGTTGGCAATGGGACACCGACTGGCTCCAAGCCTTGCCATTGCATTTATGTCTAAGGTGGAAGCACCGGTGACTGATCTCGGGCCGCTACTCTACTGTAGGTATGTAGATATGAAGACGACTGCTTTGTCCTTTGCTCAACACAAGAGGAAATGGACAAAAGCTTCGAATTGTTAAACGCACAGTCAGAGTATATCAAGTTCACCCGAGAAAAGCCGAAAGAAAAATGGCTTCCATTTTTGAACGTACAAATTCACCTATCAGAAAATGGCTACATTACAAAGTGGTACCGAAAGCCAAGTAGTAAAAACATCCTGGTTCATCACCTCTCCTCTCACCCCTCTCACACGAAAAGGGCGCTTATAAGAAACATGTTTCGAACAGCAACCAGCGTGTGCACGGGAAGAGAGCAGAGAGAGGAGTCTCGGAACTTGGCACGGCAAATAGCCGTTTCTAATGGCTACGAAACTGTAGCTCAGGATAGGTGTAGAGGAAATCGTAGGCCTCCAAACGACAACTCTAGCGATAGAAGGGTCCCGTTTATCCTACCCTTCATCTCAAATGATATAAGTAAAGCTATAAAACGCTGCTTGAGAAGGGCGGGCTTAGAGAATTCGGTAAGCGTAGTTGAAATACCACTGAGTAATATTAAGCGCCAGCTAGTTCGTAACCGCCTATATAACCGTCTATGTGCAACTCAAAATTGCATAATCTTTCCCAGTGGTAGAGACGGTGATTGCATGAGCTCGGGTATAGTTTATCTGATCTCCTGTAAGACGTGTGGTGACGAATACATTGGCGAAACGGGTAGACCCCTCTGTGTCCGCAAGAAAGAACACCTAGCCGGCAAAAATAGACCAAATACCCCGCTAGGCACGCATAGGACCCAGAGACATAACGGGGACGACTTCGAAGTATGTGTCACGATCCTCGCACGCGAATCAAGAACACAGGCGCGGAAAACTCTCGAGGCACTCTGGATTAATTCCAGAAATCCGAAAATGAACCGCAGGAAGGAATGCCTCATCATCACGCGTGATATAGGGCAGTATATAAAACTGCTTTTCTGATGTGAGGGGCACATTATACTTCCATGTGATTTCTGTGCGGTTGGTCTCTACGTGACATACTTAGTGGAAACCTCATAGGAAGCGGTGAGTGTGCAAAGCTGTGTTCAAAGTGATTGAAATCTTGGTTTGGGGTTTCTTTGTTTGGTTATGGAGGCGTCTGGCCGAGTAGATTGCTATCAACTTGACCTTTCCAGGCTCTGAGGAAGGCGAAATCCGCCGAAACGTCAGCTTAATCGTGAACAAAGAATAATAACACCTCGCGTTTGCTCAACAAAAATACGAAGAAAATTACTTGATCAATGCCGAGGTTAATAGAAAGTCGGTCGTGGCAAAAGTTAACATCTTAAGGAAATTATTAATACAGTTACTGCGAAGAGTATCTCATTTGAATCAATGGCCTTCTGTAAATCGATGAAAGTGAGACAGAACGGTCTTTTGTACTCTCGCGATACTTCAATGAGCCTTGTTATCGTGTGGATGTGATCCATCGTACTAAATCCTTTTCGAAGCGCTGCTTGCTCACATGGATGTCCTTCGTCTAGTGTTCTGTCAATCCTGTTTAGGATGACTCGAGTGAAAAGTTTGTAGACGACAGACAGTAAGCAGATTGGGCGATAGTTACCGATATAGAGTAGGTTACCCTTCTTGAACAATAACACGGCCTTGCTGGCCTTCCACTGAGTAGAGACCTTGCATTCAGACAGGTAACGTGTGAAGAGCCGAGCCAGTGTGCTTACGAGGACTGGCGGAAGGTTCTTCAGGTGTTCTGGTCTTATCCTGTCCAGACATGGTGCTGTTCAATTTTTCACCGACGAAATGGGGTGTCTGACTTCGGAAGGGAGAGCCCGTGGTGCAACATATCCCTCCTCCTTTATTTCATATGACGGAAGGTGGACGTGGCTGTCGAAGAGATCCGAGTAGCATTCGTGAATGTTTTTCTCCATTGTCTTTCTGGACGCTGTAACTGTTCCGTTTGGGCTCCGGAGTGCAATCATCTTGGTCTTGTAATTGGCGAAGCTTCGGTGGGCTTTGCGAATGTTTTTCCCAGCCTCTTCAGCTTCGACCATTGCTGTTGCTCTTCTTTTTTAAGACCTTTAATCGCCTGTGTGCATTGTTTTGCAAGTTCGAACGTTAGTTCGCGGTTGCGTGCAGCTGATGCGATTCCACGCTGGCTTATCAGCTGGAGGGTTTTTGGAGACAGACGTCTCTTGGTGACTTTCGAACTCCATGCTTTCATAGCGCTAACGTAAAGTTGTTGAACGGGTCGGTCGTACTTCCCAATCAATATTGTGGAGAACGGCATCTTTCCAACAGTCGACTTGTGATTTAAATAAATCCCACTTTATAGTGGTTTTGGGACTTCGTTTTTGAATTTAGCGGCTCTTTTTTCTTTTCGCGGAAAATGGAATCTTGCACGAAGAAAGCGATGGTCCGATTCCGTGTTGAATTTTGGGACAACAGCGACTTCGGTCAGGCAAAACCTTCTGTTTCCTATAATGTGGTCTATTTCGTTGTGGTACTCCCCACTGGAAGACCTCTACGTCCATCGTTGGGTCTTCTGGAATGGCGAGTTACCATTGACAGTTTTGGTCGTCACGATAAACTCAGCAGCCTCTCACCCTTTTCGTTCCATTCCAATCTGTGGGCCCTAATGTGACGTTCTTCAAACGTTCTTCTGGGTTCAACCTTAGCCTCAAAATCTCCAACGATGACCTTAAAGGTTGTACGCTCCTTTCTATAAAACTTTTTCAAGTCTATATAGAACGCCTCGACTTCTTCTTCGTCATAGTTCGATTTCGGCGCATAACCGACGAAGATTGTCAAAGCCGGTTTTCATCCACATTTCTTTGATAGCGAACGTCCGATTTCGGTTTGTCAGTGGTTCGAATGAATCGATGTTCATGGACAAACTCGTGTTGACGAGAACGCCAACTCCACTACTGTCCCATGTTCCGAGGAACAGCTCTTCTCCGGTGTCATAGACGGCGTTAAATGGGTGCTGTCGTCTCGTCTCGGCCAGGCTGATGACGTCGTGCTTTATTCTTCTCGCTTGCATGATCAAGTCTTCTATCGACGACTCGGATGCGAGGGTACGTGCGTTGTAGGTACACAATGTCACCTTAGTTCGCTGCGATTTAGGCAGCTCTTAATGGTCCTGAGATTTTAGCAGCCTCTCCGTACTCATCCAACCCAACACTTCGAAATTGGGTGCTTTTTCGTGGTCAGGAGAATAAGGCCCGTTTTTTTTTTACTGTGTCTAGCATTTTGATACCAACATATAGCTTGCTGGGGTGTGAACGTGGGGCTGGGTATACTCACAGGTAGGTTGCCAATCTCTCCCAGAGTGGACATGGGGCCTATCGGTTGGAGGCGACTGCTATCCGCCTTCCATATATTACTCTATAGCTTCATTGCAGGCTTTTGGTTGAACTGACTCGTAAAATACAATCCGCATAAACTTGAACGCACCCATACACGCGTGCATAAGTACGGCTCGTAATTACAGAAAATATGTGCCAAATAGGCGTAGTAAAAATACGGAGACCTTCACCTGGATCCACTTACATCTCAGAAAGCAAAGGTCGCTTTTGTTCCGCGATTAATCCCTATCCGCTACCTGAGGACGAGCCAGCTAGATTCGCGATCAACCAGCTCGGTGAACCCTCATATGAGGAACTTCAGTGGCAACCCAGCATAGTAATACTAAGTAAATCTGTGCAGTTGTTCGCTAATTTTTTTGCTTTTTTGTACTAACTAAATTTTCAAATTTCGCTCGATTCAGCATCCATTTTTCACCATTGTTTGGCAGTTAACGCTGTCCAATGTGCTAAATCTGCTTGCTCAGGCAACCTGTGTAGTTCCGGGCGCGTTTCTTGATTCAAAAAGGGGACATTTGTCGAAATGGTACGTCTACTGAATTTTGACTTTATAAACTAAACATTTTTTGAATGGCTTTATGTGAGAAGCTTATGATATAGTATGAGTATAGTATAGTGAGTATACCCAGCCCCACGTTCAGAGCCCAGCAAGCTATATGTTGGTATCAAAATGCTAAACACACTAAAAGAAACGGCCTCATTTTTCTGACCACGAAAAAGCATTCAACTTCGAAGCGTTGGGTTGGACGAGTACGGAGAGGCTGCTAAAATCTCACGGCCAACAGAAGCTGCTCGGATTTTAAAAAACTATGGCGACGATCTGTACCTACAGTGCACGTACACTTGCATCCGAGTCCTCGATAGAAGACTTGTTCATGCAAGCAAGAAGGATAAGGTACGACGTCATCAGCCTGGCCAAGATGAGAAGACGCCACCCATCCAACGCCGTCTATGACACCGGAGAAGAATTGTTCCTCTTAACATGCAGCAGTAGAGGAGTCGGCCGGGTCGGCGTTCTCGTCAACACGAGTTTGTCCTTGAACATCGATTCATTCGAACAACTTACAACTCGAATCGGACGTTTAGTGATTAAAAAGACGTGGATCAATTCCGGCTTAGACAATCTTCGTCGTTTACACGCCGACATCAAACTATGACGGAGAAGAAGTCGAAGCGTTCTATATGGACTTGGAAAAGTTCTACAGAGAAGACCATACATTCTTCAAGGTTATTATTAAAGATTTTAACGTTAAGATTGGGCCAAGAAGAACGTCTGAAAAACGTCACATTGAGACCCACGGATTAGAATGGAACGAGCAGCGTGAGCGGCTGTCTGAGCTTATCATGGCGACCGAAGCAATCCATGGTAACTCGCAATTCCAGAAGCCTCACCCTCAACTACTCACATCTCTTCGATTGCCACTTGCACCTTCCGTCATATGAAATAAAGGAGGATGGATATGTTGTACCATCGGTTCTCCCTTCCGAAATTCGACATGCCATTTCGTCGGTGAAAAATCGAACAGCGCCAAGTCCGGACAGATAAGACCAGAACATCTGAAGAACCTTCCGCCAGTCCTCGTAAACACACAGGCTCGGCTGTTTACACGTTACCTGTCTGAATTCAAGGTCCTTACTCAGTGGAAGGCCGGCAAGGCCGTGTTATTGTTCAAGAAGGGTGACCTATACTATATCGGTAACTATCGCCCAATCTGCTTACTGTCTGTCGTCAACAAACTTTTCACTCGAGTCCATTCCTAAACAGGATTGACAGAACACTAGACGAAGGACAGCTATGTGAACAAGCAGGTTTTCGAAAAGGATTGAGTACGATAGACCACATCCACACGGTAACACAGCTCATTGAAGTATCGCGGGAGTACAGAAGACCGCTCTGTCTCACTTTCATCGATTTACAAAAGGTCTTTGATTCACTTGAGATGGAAGCAGTCATGGAAGCCCTTGATAATCAAGGAGTTCCTACTCAGTACATGAAGATTCTTCATGAGCTGTACAAAAATCTCACAACCAAGATATCACCATTTCACAACGATATCTCAACATTGACGTCAAAAGAGGAGTTAGGCAAGGCGGTACCGTCTCGTCAAAATTATTTACCGCCACCATCCAGAACGTCATGCGAACATTGGAATGGGATAATATGGGAGTGAAAATCGATGATCGATAGTTACATTATCTTCGCTTTGCTGATGAGTCCTTATAACACCAAACATTAGCCAATGGTAACGTATGCTTGCCGATTTTGATAAAGCCTGTGGAAGGATTGGTTTCGACTAAATCTCACAGAAGCGATGCTCATGAAGAACGGTTTGGTTTCGCATGCCCCATTCACGCTTAACGGAACGAATATCTTCGAATGCTCCAGTTATGTCTATCTAGGTCGGAAAGTCCATACGATTAACGACTTAGCTCTAGAGCTGAGCAGAAGGAAACGAGCGGCCTGGGCAGCATTCATGAGCATCGAGGATGTAGTGAAGAGAACAAAGAACACCCGACTCCCCACCTTTTCGACTCAACGGTGTTTCCTGCCCTAACATATGCATCAGGAACTTGGTCGCTGTTTAAACAGGATAAAAAATCATTTGCCGTTATTGAACGCACAGTCGAAAGGACGACGCTAGGAGGATCCCATTTGAGACAAGTAAGGGATGGGATCCGAAGCTCCGACCTGCATCAACGATCAAAAATCAAAGATCTCGTTTTGTACGCCAAACAGTCGAAGATAAGGTGGGCCGGACACGTAATTCGTGTGAATGACAACCCGGTGGGCAAGAGGTGTTAGTGACTGGATTCTTCGGGTGATCAAACGTACTGCAGGAAGACTACCGACCCGATGGTCAGAGTTCTTCACAAAGAGCCTTGAAGAAAGATATTATGCTCGACGAGTCCCTAAAGTGAGCAGAACCCACTGGGCTACTCTTGCACGCGACAGGGAAAAATGGAAGATTTACTGGCCCCCGCTCGAGTCACTCGACGATCAACGGGACTACAGGTGATACATGTGATCAGTGCTGTCAGCAATCATCCGTCATCGGGAATGATTTGTGGAGCAAAAATTAGCGCAAACATAAGCATTTGGATCCAGTTAAGCTGAATCTGCAGTCGAAATCACTCCCATTAATTGGCACTTGCTGATATCATCGATAGAGTGAAGAAAAAACTGTCTGAGAGAAAGGCAAAACAAAGGCATTGGTTGGCGTGGTTGATAGCAAGCGAGCGTCCAGTAAGGGTAATCGCGGATCCGAAACCCATCTGTTAATCCAAGTTCTGTTCGTATCATATCATATCATATCGGCATCCTTACGGTTGAATCTTATGTAATCATGTCAATAAAAGAAGTCGTTGAACATCTCGATGACCATTTCCGCCAATCGTACTCTCTCTGCCATAATTTCTTTAACTCATTTATTTTCCGCTATATATTGAAGTTAAGGCGTGAGATCACGTGCTGGTGCCGTGGGTTCGAAAACCATTGGGCAGATTTTTACATCTTAATATTTCAAAAACCGGCTTTATTTCGACTTCGGCGTGACCAATCAATATGTATTAGTTACATTTCCACTTCCTCGCTTTAAAGAATCATGAAGATGAATGCGTCGTTTTCATGTTCAGCAATCGCGAGGTTTTTAAACAGCATACATTTACTTCCATAGAGAAACACAATACAATACAGCACTAGCTGACGTTTCGGCAGTATCGCCTTCTTCAGAGCCTGGAAGGGTATGCTGATATACAATCTACTAGGCCAAACGCTTCAATAACACTTACACAAAGACGAAAGACTCTTTGGTAATTACACGATCAACGACTTCTCGAAAAACCCACCGCTTTTTCGTGACTTCCAATGAGGAAATTTAGAACAGCTGATTATATTCGCATGTGGTTGATGACTGCACCATTCCACATCAGAAATTGATGCGAACATACGGGGTCAGGGCGCGTATGACCTCCGGCCATTCCTCCCTGCTATTCATTGCGGGGTTTTTGGCATTTATCCAGAAACCCTCAAAAAGTTTCCGCGCTGGTGTTTTGGACTCCTGTGAAAGGATATTGACTTTTACTTCAAAATCGTCTCCGCTATGCTTTTGTATCCTATGCGTGCCTAGTGGTGTACTTCGTCTTAGTTTTCGTTTGCCATCTAGGTGTTCTTTTATGCGAATCATCCTTATTGCGTACTCATCAAATATGTAGTGGAGAAGTAGTAATCAATAAAAACATATGGGAAAATGTATTTATATGTGGAATATCTCCAAGTGATACTTCCTACTTCTTTCATCATTTTGTGCGGTCATATTAAAATTTTAAAGCGTTCATGTTACAGGTGAACAGAGGGTCGCGGCAATTTTTTTTCGTTTAACAACATAGGCGTTGGTCATTTTAGGTCCAGCTTTGAGAAACCTATTGATTATCTTTATATTCACTTACGTAACTATTTGAAACCTAAAGTTTGCAAATCTGTAAAAAACATCAATAAAGAAGGAAAAATTAGGCGGGCAAAGAATGAGAACAGCAGAAATCAGTAGTTATTAGAAAGAATTTACGCAGAACTATGAACGTCTTTGTGAATTGTTTCGCCTTAGCTTACTTTGTTGAATTTGTTAAACGGATTGAAAAGAAATTGCGACTAACGAAAATAGTATGCACACCCACACCCATTTTTTGCAACGCGCGAAATCCAATGCTGTGCTGGTGAAAACTATGAACAAGGATTTCCTTAGGAGTTACGCTTTCATGGGGAAGAGGAATCAGGCGGTATATTAAATATGAAAACGACAGCAGTAATTTTCATTGTTGTTGAAATGCCACCTTTCCGATATTGTTTAGAATATGAAGGCAGTTAAAGTTGAGATTGCAGTTAGGTATTGGTGAATTTGGCCATTTATTAATGATAAAACCCTCATTGTCGAACCAGACCAAACCCATGGATCATCCAAAAATCAAAACCGGTTAGTGTGGTCTCTTTGAGAAAATAGATGGCCCATCGTTGAGACATGGTAGATTTTTTCTAATGTGTCCTAATAGGACGTTCATCAGGAAGACTACGCCTCATACAATGATTGTGACGAGGTCAATGGGTATAACAATAACTGTTTTGGATACGAGCATCAAAACTGTTGAGATAGCTAATCAGGAATGGTTATTTGCCGATCTATTTGTAGGAAAACATTCTCTGGCAACGGTAAGTGCGAAGTATTGTTGATTTCTATAGACATACTTATTTACTTACTTGAAAATTTAGACAGTCCGCCTCCATTGATTGTGCAGGCTCCAGCATATTTTCCAATTTTCGAGGGTTTGTTGGTTAAGCCATTGTGTTTTCTTGGAGACCCGGGGTCAGATTCGCCAAACTGTCCGAGGTCGTCGCCACCACGGGTAATCGCGGCACTTGTGAACCAGAGAGAGATTTGCCACCGCGCGACTAGTTTAATACCGGGACGATGGTGGATCGTGGTAATGCTTTACTCTTAGCTAGGCTTTCAGATGAAAACGCCGAACTTCTTCTTAGCACGAGAGACCATACCAGGAGATGAATTCTCTGCTGTGCATCGCAGTCCGAAACCCAGGAACACCTCCCAGCCGCGATGAGGCGGTAAACCATTGGGAGGAATAATGGTAAAGAGCAATGTAAAAGTCTTAAGCAGTCCCTTGAAATGAATACAACTCTAGTGATCCCTTCCATTTGCAAACATCAAACAGACCCTTCATATCCGCGAATGATGCGCCTCAAGTTGAACAAAGCTTCCAGGTTTTTACATGGTGTCCACCTATGGTTAATGGTTGCCCATCTACAGGATAGAAGTAATATATACCTATGTTTACGTGAGTTTTACTTCAAAAGTTTAAAATATGTTTTTTCATTCATTTCGTCTTCACGTCTGCCGTGCGAGTCCCACACTTCTCACATTCTGTTCGTTTCGTCCCATCCATTGTCCA